GGTAGAGTACAGGTTTTGCAGTACATTGCATATGGCTTCACCTGCAACAAAACATGTCTCATATGAGAACAAGTAGCATACAATACAAGCAGGTTATTTTCATTGTCAATTAATAATTCGATAATCTTCTTAATTAGAACTAAAAGGACTTGTTCTGTCCAACTAAAGCAATGCAATTCAGTTTACTATCATACAAAGACAAAGATTTATTGTTTCAGCTCTAACGCCTCCAGACTGAGTGAATCTACAGAGCACTTATTCAGGGAAATTGCCACAGAGTGTTTTAGTGAGAAAACAGACCAGATTACAACACGGGTTAAAGCAACAGGAGACTGACCACACAGACATGATGCCAGAGCATTTCAACACATGCACATCTGATTGATCTGAGTCTGCAGTGTGTGATTGTCACGCGACAGACTGAAAGACGTCACTCTGACAACACTTCGCTCACATCTGGGTTTCTTGTCTCCTACAAAATCGCAACACAGAGCATTCTGAATGATGTGAGTGTGACACTGGATTCTTCCAAACAACCGATAATATGGACTCATTATCTTCTACACCATCTGGACTATTCAGCTTGCTCTAACTGTCTTTAGTGAATTTATGAATAGAATATTAGTTTGGTCAAATTATCTAACATTCATTTAAAAAATAATTAGCTTGTTATTAGAAGACCAGTTGGAAAACATAAGGCACAGGTTTGACTAGAATAAATCCTGGTTATCTTCCACCTGAGCTTTCCCTACATCAGTGGTTCCCAACCTTTTCCAACTCATGGCCCACTTGAATATCTCAAAAATGTTGGGGGCCCCACATCTGACCCCGTAACAACACAGAGGCCAAATAATGCCTCCGAGCATTTTAACATTCAGGACTGAAAGCAGGAGAAGATCAATTTCTCTTTCCTGTTTGATCACTTGTCGATTCACCATCTGTCTCTTTCCTTTTAATTCTTCCTGTTGCTAACCAGCCATCCACTTTGATACGATGATCAATGAAAGGGGTTTTTCAACGTTATGAATGTTTTTGAAGATCATTTCATTTTGAAATTATTTATATTAATATATAAATATTTATTTTTTTTAATATAATTACATGCTTACACCAAAATTGTGGCCCACAGGTTAGGAACCACTGCACTACATTATACCCTCTCCTATATTAATTTACTTGCACATATGTACGCACTGCTGTCAAACTGGAGGCCATGACATCATGCTCACTGATGATGTTTGGTTGCAGGATAGTTAACTAGTTAGTACGTCAGGCTGGGTAACTGTGTCTCAGGGACAGTGATGAGCAGCACTGGGGCTCCACAGGGAACTGTTCTGGCTCCGTTCCTGTTCACCCTGTATACAGTGGACTTTAAAAATACAACTCCGAGTCCTGCCACATCCACAAATACTCGGATGCCACAGCTATTGTGGCGCGTATCAGGAACAGGCAGGAAGAGGAGTACAGGCATCTGACGAGGGATCCTGGACAGTAAACTGGACTGGTCCCTGAACACGGATGCCATCTACCTGAAGGGGCAGAGCCGGCTCTTTTTCCCCAGGAGGACGACGTCTGCAGTGAAATGCTGCACATGCATATTATTATTATTATCATCAACAACATCAACAATGGGATAATGCCATGACACATGAATTTCCCCTAGGGGATAAATAAAGTATCTATCTGTTTATCTAGCTGTCCTGGTAATAAGCCAGGAATTTATGAGAAGGAGCTCACTGAGAAAACTACTAATGCAACTAACAGTAGGGTTTTGCCCCCTCCCCCATAAAAAGCCCTCATTGTCAAGACATTGCAAGTTCACGTTCTGCAGCAGAAAACGTCAAACGCCAGTGGCTGTTCTTAAACACAGCCCCCTTTCTGTGCTGATGTGCTGTCTGAAAGGGAATGTCTGTGCAACTTTGGCTCAGTTTTCTTTAAAGATGAAACTTAAGAGTCTGTGATGTTCTCTCCTTCAGAACACGAAAAGAATAAGCTGAAACTTATTCATGAGAAAAGCAGATTGTAGCAGTCACAGAAAAGTTCCCTGCACTGTATCAACAATGTCATTGTCCATTGCAATGGTTCAGTGTACACATCGTCATATGCCAGTTCAGTAGACATTGCAAAACTCCAGCCGGCAGTTGCTTTGAATATTATTAATCTATTTTTTGGATTTATGTTTTTTTTGTTGTTGTTGATACGTCACCAAAGAGCACAAGATACCTATCAATTTGACGTCTTCAGACTGTTTATGTTGTCCCGGAAACAGCTCAAAACCCAAAGATATTCAGTTTATAATTATATAAAACAGAGAGAGGCAGATAATTCTCACATGAGAAGTTGGAATGAGGGAATATTTGGCATTTTAGCGCAAAGTAAAACCTTGTTCCTGGAAACGAACAACTAATAATGGCTATCATTGGCTATCATTTATCAAATAAATACCAATAAATCATATCAGGCTTTTGTAACATGTGAAAAGCATTAACAACTTTTTTATAGACTGATTAAATCAACTGATTAAGCAATAATTGACAGCAAGCAATTACCTTTAATTTCACACAGCCCTGAAGTTTGCTTTCGATTCAGCAGGTAAGGTAAACATATAACAAAATCTCCATATTTTGTTCCACTGGTGAAATGTGTTAGACGCCCCAGTTAAAGCCTTAACACTGTGTAAAACTCACTTTCAACTTTGTGAAATCTTTAATTCAAAAAAGAGGCAATTTCATTGTGTTTGCTCCATCAAGTGAACAACAGAGGTCTAACCTTAAAAACCCACATTTACACTTATCAAATCTGGACTTGATTAATAAGTAGAGTCCTGTAACTGTTGAGAACACAGTTTCAGATTTGTGAAATCTATTTTGTGAAAATAGACAAAGGACAATTTTACTGCTTTTTTCTATCTAGACCATATCAGACCTGGTTTAAATAAAACCCACCACACTTAGATTTGCCAAAACTGGATTAGATTAGAGAGGGAGAAGCCTGATCACATCAGACCAGGGCTGGATAAAAAAATGACTCGTCAAATCTGGACTACATTAACAGAGCAGAGGATAAAGACTCTTTCACCAAAACGTTTTCAGATTTATTAAACTTTAATTCTAATTGTGAAAAACACAAAAAAATGTGATTTCACTGCATTTTTTCTGTATAGACCACATGAGACTTAGACTTTCAATATCTAGACCAAATTAACAAGGATAAGGTAAAGACAGTTTAAAACACAGACTCAGATTTGTGAAAACTTTGCTCCAATTGTGAAAAAGAAAAAAGAAAAATTAAAAAATTTAATTGTTTTTGTCTTGTCTAGACCACATTAGACCAGGTCTAGTTCAAAACCCAGTCAATTTAAACTTGGCCGATCTGGAATGAGAGGGGGAGTGACAGCTTCCGATTAGTGAAACTGGACGGAACCGAACCGGAATGCAGCTTCGGCGTAGTTAATCTTGCGCTGTATAGTGTAGATGGTACAAGTTGAATACAAACACGGACCAGGTGTTTAACGTATTAACTTGATCATGAAACTATAAAAAAAAAATGTCGTACATACTAATTTCTAAATGTCTCAGATTTTAGGGAGGTTGTTATGGTAGTTTACTTTATCGTGTACCTGAAGTCATAAACAGAACCAGCAGGTAAAGCCAGGTAGGTTAGCATTAGCTTTAGCTTGTATCAATACCGACCATGCGCTTTACACTACTGTTTTCCCAAGCTAACGGCTAACAGCTAACTCTTAGCTCCGTTAGTTTACCTGAGTCCCCTTCCCGGCACCGGGTGGTCCGAGCAGAATGGCACGGATCCCCTCGTGCACATCGGCTATAGCCTCCTTCAGTTGCGCGCTGGGGGCCATGTTTGGACCGGGAAACCACCAGGGCAGAAACTTTATTAAAGTCTGTCCACGCAGTCCTGCTGATACCGCAGCGTAATCGGCCAGGAAAGAGAGCGTCCCCGCCTCCTTTCTGGTACCACGGTTAAACCCCACCCACCAGCTGGAAGACACCGCGTTCGATTGGCTGTCAGACTGCTCTGTCAATTATTGTGCATGTTGATTGGATGAAATTCATGCAACGCCTCATTGTGTAACATCGAGCAAGGTTTCATTAATCCGTAATGTTAAATGTGTACAGAAATGCATTTTATTTTTGTCTTTCACTGTTTTTTTTGTTTTTTTTATTGTTTCTATTGTTTTTTATTGTTTTATCATTTAAGTCATTTGCATTCAAATTCAAATTTTACTTCATTAAAAATATAAATGTATTAGCATGAATATACTTGATATACATTGATTAGGTCTACTTTATGTATTGCTGGGAACAATACATCATGGTTTATATGTTATTTGTATTCATTTGTTAAATTTTGTATTAATTAGATGAATCTGCAAAGTAACAAAAGCTTTGAAGTAAATCTAGTGGGATAAAAAAGTACAATATTGTCCTTTGAAATGTAAAGTGTATGTTTATATATTATTAGCTTGATAACCTTCCTAACTTTTCACATTAATGAGACAAAACTTAGTGAAAAACTTTCTAAAATTTAATAATAATTTACTGTACGCAAATGTTATGTTATATTTCATTACATTATACTATATTTGCAAAAATATCTGCAGACTTTAGTGCCTATATAGGATGGCCTATCATTTATTTTCTATTTATTGTTTTTTTTGGTTTGTTTGTTTCTGTTTTTCTTTTTTGGTATTTGATTGTGACACTACAGATTTAGACTGTAAAGACAGGGATGCCATACCAACACAGGTACAGTATAGATGACTGAGAACTGGAAAAAATTGTTTCATCACTTCCTCCATTAAATCTTCAGACTAAAAAAAAGACCACCACTTGATGGAGAATATAAATCATTTTGTCAAAGCATTAAGGGAAGTGAAACATTTAAATGAGTGAAGAGGAAAAAAAAGAAGTTGACCTTGGGGAACAAAATGTTTTTTAAATCCCTCCCCACCTGTCACTTTGTGCGTGACATTTGAAGAGTACTTGAACCGTTTGCTGTCACACCCAGACTTAGTTCTCTTTCAAACTCACTGATGGCAAAAGAGATGAAAATGTCTGAAGGTGAAGTCCTGTACACAGAAGTCGAATTTACAAGGGGAGCGAGGGGAGTGAGGGCATGCACCAATGGTGAGTCTTAATTTCTTTTACAACATTTTATGGTTACAGTGTATACAAGAATAAAATAAAGATGTATGCTGAAAAAGAGTGAACTGTTCATTTCAAGTCTTCTTAGCAACATCTTTCTTCAGAATGAAATGATGGACTTGATTTCCCTCTTATATCTCCAAGAATGCCACCAGAGTTTTCAAAGGTGAAAACTCCAGATACTTCCAAGAGTTTGTTTCTTTTGTTAGTCAGCCTTTGAGTGGAGTATGAATGTTTAATCGTTCACCCAGTGGTGCATGTTCACAATCCTTTCAACAGCAGTTTGTTTTGTGTTGCAGGGACAACTTCCTCATCAGCTGAAACCACTTACTCAGAAGTCCGGACCTTGAGAACTGAACCACCTTCAGAGCTGCCTGGTAGGTAATAAACAGCAAGTCAGTGGCATGGTGAGGTGAGGTGGTTACCTGATCTACAGTAAATTAGTCAGCAACTATTCTGATAATTGAATAACAACATTTTTCAAGAAAACTCCCAGCTTCTCAGATGTAAATATTTTCTGTTCTTTTTAGTCTTCTACAACCATAAACGTATATCTTTAGGTTTTTGATTGTTTATTAGACAAAATGAGATACGTGAAGATGTTACCTTGGACTTCTGATGGACATTTTTCTTTTTTATTTATTTTTTTGGGTTTTTTGTGCCTTTATTGATAGTGCAGTAGAGAGAAACAGGAAATGGGGAGGCAGAGAGAGGGGTAATGACATGCAGCTAAGGGCTGTCCGATGCAGGACTCGAACTGGGGCCAACTGCAGCGAGGACTGTAGCCTCTACACATGGGGCGGATGCTCATCCAACTGAGCTACTCGACGCCCCCTGATGGACATTTTTCATTAGTTTCTGACATTTCTTAGAAAAATAATGAGCAGATTAACTGATAATGAACATAAGTTAGTTGCCCTATTATTGTGTATAATAAAGTTTCTACTTACTATGATTATTGTTATGTACCAAAACACCAAAGCAAATTCCTGGATCTTGCACAGAGATGATAAATCAATGTAATTTGCTCATTTATTTGCCTCTGCTAGATTCTAACCTTCAGGAAGGAGGATTTACAGCAGGACTGTTGTATTAGACTGCATTAGTCATAGCTAGGTGTTCCTAATAAACTGCTGAGTGTACTGTATAGAGCCAAGCTAAGAAACTGAATGTATGGTTTTCTCCAGGTTAAATCTAACCAGGTTTCTCATTTAAACAAAGTTTAAGAAATCAACTTACTGGAATAAGCTTACTTACTTAATTTGATGTGAACTGTCTCCTCTGTTGTTGAACAGGCGCCCAACAAGCAGCAGTGCCAAATGAACAATCCAAGGTGACATGGCAGACCGTGGCTCTGCTGGTTCTCAGCGCTCTGCTGGCAGCTGCCGTCATTGCTCTCTGTGTTACCTGTGAGTTTGTACCGTTTTCTCAAAGTACATTAATTTAGACTGACTAGTAAAATGAGAAGAACAATCTCAGCAACTTTGAGAATCTAGATTGATATATTATTGGTTATTTTCCTTGTTATAGAACTGATGTAAAATCACTAAAAATCAAATTGAATCTACAAATGTCTGTCCATATTATTAAACCTCATTCTAATGACTCTGAACAGATTCCTACTCATCATCAAGTACTGACCTTCTCTGACTATACTTTCTTTTTTTAAATTAGTAAATATGAACATTCAAACTGTGGAACATCTCCGAAAGCTGCAATATGATCATGATGCTGTGAAAAAAAATCTTTCTGGTAAGTTTAAGAGTTTGTGTTGCAAAGGCTCTGCAAAGTCACTTATTCATTCTGACAGGTGAAGCCTGATTCGAATCTGGTTTCAAATTTGTCTCCTCTGTGCACAAAAGAAATTCAAAACAGTAAAGAAATAACATTTCTGCCCTAAACCTTTAATACTATTATATAATAAACTTCCTTTAAATGATTTTGTCCTCATGAAATTTTAATTAGTTTGAAACCACAATATGTTTTGTTCTATATGTATTTAGTAATATTTAGTTCAAATGAATAGGATGATCAATTCTGTTTGAATTTTGAGGAATTTGAGGCGCAATAGAAGGAACACTGGTATTTTGTTTGTTTCTCAACTGAATATATAATAATAATATGAAAAAATATGTATCAGCATACGACTATAAAAACATTACCACAGGGAATAAACTTTAAAACAGCAAAATAAGTTTTCAGTGAAATTGACTCTAATCAGGCACTGACCTTTTCTGACTATACTTTCCTTTTCGTAAGACTTCGTATATGAAAACATTCAAACTAAGGACGATCTCCAAAAGCTGCAATTACATAATGAAGTTCTAAAAATAAACCTCTCAGGTAGATTTGAGAGATTGGGTTTGACATCTTTATTTATTATCGATTTATTTCTCAATTGTGTGGAAGTTACTTTTCTGTTTAAACGATCCTTATAAGGAACTGATCAAATGAAATCATTTCTCTCCTCTTTCATCAGAGACACGCTGTGAACCAACACCATGCAGCACAGTGCAGCCTACATGCCCCACACCTACTCAAGTAAAAATAAGTAAGTTATTGATTTTATGATGATTAAAGAAACACTGGACTGCCAGATACAGTAAGTTAGACTGTGGCTGCAGTTGCCTGATAGGTGCCTTGCTCAAGGCCAGAGTGCTGTATCTGCGAGGATTCACTTCACTGCTCTCAGATCTTTACCTTTAAAGTTCCTGCTGCTTCTATATCACATGTAAACATAAAGTCTTTGCTGTAACCTCTTCAAAGATCAGCCATGTCAGAAGTGTGAAGAGGGCTGGGAGCAAGACAGAGGACAGTGCTATTTCTTCTCCATCAATGGTTCATCCTGGGAAGAGAGCAGAAATGGATGCAAACGGCTGGGAGGAGACCTGGTTAAGATAGACAGCAGAGAGGAGAAGGTAAACACGTCTTTATGTTTCATCGTCTCAGCACAGGAAAGACTCACAGAGTGAATTCATCAACATTTCCTCTTCAGAGCTTCCTGAGCAACAGACTGATAGAAAAAATGGATAATACTGAAGACAAGTTCTGGATCGGACTGACAGACTCAGAGGTAGAGGGTGAATGGTTGTGGGTGGACGGCTCACGACTGAACACAAGGTTTGATTGTTGTGAAAACATTTTTGTCCATTTCCAGTTCAAAGTTTCCAGTTTTTATTGATCCAGTTCTTTCTCTTCTCCATCTCTTAGTTTGAGTTTTTGGTTTGCACAGGAGCCAGACAACTGGACACAGGAGAATCCTGATGGAGAGGACTGTGCGAGGATGGGGGAGGGCATGTGGTGGGATAAATCCTGCAAAGCCTCTCAAAAAAGTATTTGTGAGAAACAAGCAGAAATGGGACGGACTGCGGTTACATGTGTCACATGAAATCCAGTTAAGCTCGAGTCCTCAGCCAGTTTAACAATCTGTGGCATGATGCTGTTACTGATAAAGCTAATGACATAATCTATGAAAGAGCAAACACCTCATTTAGAATCTATGATTAGTTAATATTTCTGGACGTTTACTACTTTGGTGTTAAGTCTTTTCTCAGTGTTTGTGACCCGGAGAATTAAATATGAGTCTTTATGACAACAATAATGTAACGGTTTAGCTGTGTTTTAGTGTACAAACAAAAATGTATATATAAAAAGATAAACATTTTCATGAATGATTACATTTCATTAGTCTGTCTTTAAATGATTAATCAATAACTGAGGTTTTAAATGAAACCATTAACATTCATTAATTATATAAGGGTTTTTAATATTTATTTCCTGTACTGTGAATATCATTTTCATCTCACAATTCCTGTTTTCTTCCAGCTATTTTTTTTAGTTTGATGCAAAAATGCCAAATTAATCAAATTAATATGAGTTTATAATTCATTTGTTTTTTAGTTAGTTGTAACATTTTAAAGGTTTTTAATTACAGTCAGTGATGAATAAAGAATATAATTTCTTTATTATATTTAGATGAATTAATAATAAACACCTTAAAAAACACCTCTGAATCACTTTGAATCAGTTATTGGTCTGCTGATGTCATGTTAGTGTTTTACAAGGGATTTGTATATTTTAAAATGTAATGTATAATAATGTGTATATATTGTGTCAATTGACAGAATAAATTTTCCATTCATATGAATGACTTTTTTATTCATATGAAAAATAATATTTTACAGCCTCTCAAACCTACAGAAAGTGAGTGATCAATACTCAAAAAGGAAAAAGATTTTGAAATCAGTTAAAGTTTAAAACCCAATAGAAACAAACCACAAGGGGGCAGCATTTCTACATCTGAAGTGAAATAACAGACAAAAATTTTGGTCCAAATAAACTGAAGAGCACAAATAAACCTGGAGGATCACCATGTTGATCATAAGGATTCAAGATTATAAGACTCCAAAGCACAACCTCAAGGCATCAAAAGTGCAGTATTCTAAAGTGGAATATATTCAATCTGAGCAACAAAACCCGTCCAACAAAGCGCAGCTGAACAGAAACATCATCTGTGAAGAATCTTTGCAGAACATCTGTACCCGTGTGAAACTGGCCCCTGTAACTGCAGCTGAACTCTGCGATAACGATAACAAATCAAGTCCAACAGGGAAAAATTTGAAAAAAATGTTTTGAAACAAACTCTTATTTAATGAGTCCAGGTAGAAAAAATTGAAGAAATCGCAAAACGTGATTGTGAACTTAGAGTGTTTGGAAAAAAACAAAACATAAACGTTGTCACGATTTCATCAAAAGCTGTTGATGACACAACAAATTTTAGGTGTTTGTGTGAGAGACTTTACGAGATTTTACTATTTCTGTTTAATGGAATGATTTTCACAATTTAAACATTTTTAAACTCAAAGTCATTTTTAACTGTAAACTGTAAAAGTCATTTAGCTGCCTTCATCAGTCTGAATCCACCTCGTCTTCTGTATCTGTCGGCCCATCTTCTATCTCACATCGTCCCCCTGCAGCTCTCTGACGGTGAGGATTCGTACGATCATGGCCTCCATGGTGCTGTCGTCCAGAGGGCTGGAGGAGAACCACAGAGGGCTGCTGGGAATGCAGCGGTGGTCCGGGTGGAGGTAGAACAAGTCGCTGTGCTGCCTCACCGACTCCGAGCTGAGAGGAAACACAGAAGACGTTTAAACTGAAGCTGGTCGTTGTGTTTAGACACATAGGTATCTGTGTTGATACAGGGGAGACAGAAGATCATGACAGGCTCATACACATTTCATCCAGTGTTTTAAAATGTGTGTTCATTTATCATTCTGTATGTGCACTACTTTATGTATTTTAGACAATGTGATGACACTTGGAAACCGATTATGCTAATTACAGCAACAATATCAAGGATTTTCATGAAATCAAATTACTTTTCCAGCAGTAGCCACTCAGGATATTTACATTTTTATAATTATGTCTCCATAGAGATGAGTTTTTGAGCATTGTAAGGCAGGCGGCTGAAAATAACTCAGATTACCGAGATTTTATGAGGAGATCAACATGACTTTCATGTGTCTTAAACTGCATGAATGACAAAAGTAAAGAGTAGAAAATGTTCATTATCTCATGAAGGAAACCTGCCTGATAGCTCAGAGCAGAATTAGCCGTTAGCTCCAGATAGGAGTGCACAATTATTCAGAATATAATGGAAATTGCAATATGGCCATGTGCAATATCCAAATCACAGGAACTGCAATTTTTTGGATAAAAGGTAAAATGTGTCACATTGTTGTGCAATGGGTCGGCATGGTGTTGCAGTGGTTAGCACTATCGCCTTGCAGCAGGAAGGCTCTGGGCCTTTCTGTTTGGAGTTTGCATGTTCTCCCTGTGCCTGCATGGATTCTCTCCGGGTACTCTGGCGCCCATAGGTGTGAATGAGAGTGTGAATGCTTGTTCGTCTCTTGTATGTCCCTATACTGCGCCCTCACCCAATGTCAGCTGCAGCTGTGTGTTTCAGGCTTTTTTAATAATTATCGGTAGAAAGCTTGTGAGCTGGAGAAGTTAATTGTTAATTGTAGGAGGAGAGACAGCATGTGAATCAGAGTAGTGCCTCATCAATTTCTGAGGATGTCTGGTCCAGCAGGACATATAGATATACATATAGACAGACGTCACATGTCTTTATCTAACTATTGTTATGCGCCTTTTGTGCTTCTTTACTCATACTCGTCTGAAACTGGATTAGGACAGTTTCCTCTAAGTTATGCATTTTTATCCATAACACCTTGTTTACCCTAGCAACAGAGGATAAAGAGGCTCCATTTAGACTTGAATCAGTCATAATAGAAGCTACACAGTGAACCAGTGTAACAATGACTCTTGAAGAAAGAAGAAAAATTCCTTCACACTGAGGCTGTGTGTGTGACTGACAGCTGACTGAGGAGCAGACTGATGGTTTTTAAAGGAAAATGTTTTCACATTGTTATGATTATAATTTTTGAGGGAAAATAAATTAAGTGTTGAAGTGTTTGGCATAAAAAAAATGCTAATTTTAAGACAATAAACATCCCAAACTGTCTGTAATGAGCACATTTAAAACGATACCACATAAAACATATAAAACCTCGAACATAGAATCAGACACTCACCACTTGGAGAGGTAGAACTCATAGAGTCTGACCGGGCAGCGTAGAGGGTTCTCTGTGTTCTCCATCATCTCCAGGAAATTCTCTATATTCTGATTTTTCTTATGTCTTTTAGCTGGGACACCGTCTGTATCTGAAGAACACACACACACACACACAGACACACATTCACACGACATTGTCATAACACAAATCCAGCATAAGAAGATGTGAGCAGTTGACCCTCAGCCACACTGGTACCTGGCTCTGCTTCATGTATGGATATGGGCGGGTAGAAGCGCAGGAAGGTGGTCTTGGTGTTATTCGGGTTGGTTTTGGTGCAGCGCATGACGTGGGCGAAGGACAGCTGGCGGTGCTGCTCCACCGTGGTGAAGCCGAAGTACTTGCAGCAGAAGAAGAGCAGAGTGTTGAGGAGGACGATGGGGGAGTACGCCCCCAGCTGTTTACAGTCCCAGAGAAACTCCTCCTCCACACGGGAGTGGATGTAACCTGGCGAAGAGAACAGAGATTTGATCAGAGACAGAAAACTAACTAACTAAATAAATAAATAAATAAATAATAATAATAATAATAATAATAATAGGACACTAACTCACCACTGGCTGTGACTGATGTTTTGAGGATTTTGGTGAACTCTGTGCAGAACTTGTTGTAGATCAGATCACTGAATATGTTCTCCATACGACCGTTCTCAAACAGGTACTACAGAGAAGAAAAGAATTTAGAATAAGAATAAGTTTGAGGGTGTGTACACTGTAGTTTGTAAAGGCCACAGAGAAGAAGAAACACAAGGTGTGACTGGATTTAGGAAAATCAGTTATTTATTGTTACAATGTTCATAGAATAAGTCATGAGTTATTTTTTTTAAAAAACATATTAGAGTGTAAAATGTTATGAAGCACAAAGAATAAACAGCACAGACTGTTCAACATGTAACTGTAACAGGAAGTTTCTTTTAGTGAGAAATAAGCTGATAATTCAACAAGTACATGTTTTTAAAGGACACTATTGATACTGTGTTATGAATATAGTCACATGATCATTTGTTTTGTAGCTTTTAGTTTTTTCTTTTCTGCTCAATATCCGAAATGATAATATAAAAAACGGATTTTTCATTTACTAATTTATAAAAACAGGAGAAAATTCTGTTTGTGTGATGGTAAGTTCAAACTTAGAAAAGCTGTTTGACTAAAATGTGCTTGAAAAGAGACACTTAGGACTGCAGTCCAGATCCAGACGCCGTCCTATCTGGACCTGGACCTATAATCTGTAAATTATCAAGAATTATTCAACTTTGACATAGCAACTCTATTCTAACCGGCAGCACCTTTCTAGCCTTTACGGCACTGGTCATGTGATGCTACTCAGCCAATCACTGCGACTTGAGTCAGTGAGCGAGAACACTTTTTATTTCATATTTCTAAAATGAAGCAGAGATATCATTTTGAACCCCCCCCCCCATGTTGTTTGTCTTACCAGTTGTATGCTGAGGCAGAGGTAGAACAGGCTGTCAGGTGAGTACGGCTCTCCATCAGGTTGTTTCACCTCGCTGACGAAGCGACAGAGGCCGTCGCTCAGTTCAGCCGCGGAGCAGTGAAGAACATCCTCCTTTAACCGCACATGTGCTGACGGATGACAGAAGCAAGGAGACAGTTTTAGTGGATGTGTCTGACATTTTATATTTTTCTGTTTTTTTTTTTTTTGTTAAATTAGTCAATAAAAATAAAATGTCATCACTTCATTTTATTTTGTTAGACATTTTAATTTAATTGTCTCATAATCAGCGTATGTATTTGTTTTTTGAGGTCACTGTGACCTTGACCTTCGACCATCAAAACCTAATCAGTTCATCTTTGAGTACAAGTGAATGTTTGAGAAGTTCCCTCAAGGCGTTACTGAGATATCATGTTCACCAGAATGGTACGAACGGATTGGACAACCAGAAAACATATAATGCCTGTTTCTCAACAAAGATCCACATCCACAATCCACAAACATCTGTTTAAACCTGTGCTTATGAAGTTTTGAGTTATTGAGCCAAGAGCAAATTAGATTCAATTTTAAGCTTCAAACATTCAAAATCTAATTAAAAAAATAAATAAATACAGAAAAACCTACAAGACACAGGGTCCAGGTTGGTCTGTGATTCCCTCCACTGAATCCATCTCTTCCAGGCGTCAGTCCCACACTGACTCTTCAGTTTGTGGTGCTTCCTAGACATGACCTTCGAACAGTCTCTTTGAGAGGTCTCCTTAGACAACTGTAGCAACTTTGAACCCTTTGGATAAAAAGAGAAACAAGTTTACTCCACAGAAAGATGAGACCATCACCTCTACACTGGTCCTCCAGGTGGTTTCTGACCTTGTTCTGGTTGTGGACTTTGCCCAGAGTTTGTTGTAACAGTGGAGCAGCAGGCGCAGGCCTCGGTGAGCTCTGGGGATCCTCTCTTGTGTCTGGAGGAGGAGGAGGAGGAGGAGGAGGTGGAGCTGGACTGAGTGGTGGACTGGTTGAGTCCTCCTGGCTGCTGAAACTATCCAGGTCTTCTTCAACCAAGTCCTGCCTGCAGCTGCTGGTGTGGTCTGAAAATAACGAGGACATTAAACATAATGATGGAGCACTTCCATTCTGAGAGTAGGAATTAATCTGTAAATATTCTTGAGTCGTATTTTAATGGAATAAAATATTTACACTGTTGTGATTATTTCTTTTTTAACTACTCTGTGTTTTATCATTTAGTTGTGTGACTCTTTGAACAGTCGGTTTCTCAGGCTCTTAATCTTTGTCCTTCCTGGGAGAGACGACTGTATCTCGTCTTATCCCAAGGTGTGTCCAAGGACAGCATTCAGATCGCTGGTGTTAGTTTATATGTACAGTATATTAAAGAGAGCAGGTAGTTTGTTTGTTAACACAGATGTACCAGCGATGACTGATGCTACAGACAGGACCAGACTTGTGGGATCATATATTGTATATATAATATTTATATATATTATATATTATTCTATTAATATATTTATATATACAAATTTATTTGTATAGCACATTATCAGACACAGAGGCCATTCAGTGTGCTTAAGAGAAATAATAGAAGAATAAAAATAAAAAGCATAAAACTAGAATCACCTCCTGGTGGTTGTCTGCCTCCTCCACTCAGACTAGTTTCAGGTCACATCCCTGTTTATCCAGAGTCTTAGAAAATATGAACTATTTGTGTGAAATTTTGTTATAATGGCTGTGAAGTCTTGAGTTATGGCTAAAAAGTGTTTTGTGAGGTCACCATGACCTTTAACCTTTGATCTTTGAACACCAAAATCTAATCAGTTCATCCTTGAGTCCAAACCAACGTTTGTGCCAAATTTGAAGGGACTCCCTTGAGGAGTTCTGGAGATATTGCGTTGACAAGGCCAAAATTATGTTTTGTGAGGTCACTGTGACCTTGACCTTTAGCCACAGAATTCTAATCAGTTTGTCCTTGAGTCCAGGTGAATGTTTTTACCAAATTTGAAGACATTCCCTCAAAGCATTACAGTGATATCACATTCACAAGGCCAAAAATGTGTTTTGTGAGGTCACCATGCCCCTGACTTTGGACCCTCAAAATCTAATCAGCCTATCCTTGAGGTCTAGTGAATATTTGTGCCAAATTTGAAGAAGTTCCATCAAGGTGTTACAGAGATATTCTGTTCACTATGATGAATGGATGGAAAACCTGAAAACAATATGGCTCCGGCTCGGACTGTCACCGTCGTGGAGGAGCCAGTTATGATTTGAGCCGGACAATTTAACTCAGAAGACATCAATGCTCTGTGGATTATTATTTAGAGAAAACTCTACAACTGTACTCTCAGCTATAGCTGGAACATATGACCTACATTATAATAAACAGACACATTTACATAAAAAACATTATAAGTATCACAATCACAGTAGCTGGTCCTGGATGTCTCTTAAAACTAAAATTAAACAAATTTCTTACCCTTTAAGGCCTCAGTTTCTTGTCTGTCTTCTTCTCTGGTCACCTCTCCAGCCTCTTGCCCATCCTCTCTCTCCTGCCACTCATCCTGCTCTGTCTCCATCTCAGACCTGACGTTGAGTTTTCCCTCTGAGGGTTCTGGCTCCATCCTCTCTTTCGTTGTCGGCTCAGGGAGGAACACGGGTACAGGCAGCTGAGAAAGACACAGTTTAGTAAAGACAGTTTGCTTGTGGCACCTGAAGACAGTGCTTATTTATTCTTGACAGTTTCTCTCATAATCCCCCAAAAACAGATGGTGTAAATACCATTAAAATCTCATGCTAGGGTAAAGGGAAGACAAGGAAATTTCACTTCTAATGCTTTTTGGTTGTATTTTGATGCTAACTAATATTTGTGTATAACAAAAAGTAATGTTACAAAACCTTCTGAAAAGCAAGAGGGCACTGCTGTAACTCATCTGAATGAAGAGTTTTCCACAAATTATAATTCAACAAGAGCAGAAAATAGTGATGCTCTTCTCTGTTAGATGAGATTATGACAGGAAAATAGGAACTGATGGAGAATATATAGATGATATATTCTTGAAAAACTTCAGAGTTCAGAGTTCAAGTACTTTTCTTGACAAGTACTTTTTTTTCTGATGATATAACCTGGAACTAAGCACCATAAGCTCAACCATAAGAAATTCCATACATTTAAAAAGAGCATTTTTTTCTGATTTTCTGGATGTGATCAAAATGACACAAGGTTCACAGGAGGAGTCAGCAGTATTGTACGTACCGGTAATGGCAGGCCCACAGGCTTTGGTGTGAACTGGCTGTACATGTTCATGGGTAGGGGAACATACACTGGCACTGGGACGGGCAGCACTATGACCTTAGGTACAAAGTTGTCTTCACACAACAGAGAGAAAACAGAAACAACATTAAAGCTGTGTTTTTGAAAAAAAAGGATGCGTGTGTTTGTGTGTGTATCTTAGTTTTTGTATATTTTGCATATTTTAATTGCATCACAAAAAGTGTATTTGGGTATTTGAGTATTTAAATGTGAATTTTACCTGTTTGTGCTTCCGTGTCGACAGTCTGTGTTGTACAGGAGACTCCTTTGTTGTGGACCAAAGGTGTACAGAGCATAGACTTGTTCTTCACTTCCTTTGGGATGGTTTGAATACTGGCCTGAAAAACAGACAAATGATGATGACATCTTCATCTACAACAGGTTGTTACTTGGATATCTCAAATTTGCTGAGAGAAGTTTGTTTTTAATAGAACTTGTTAACAAAGCCAACAGAAAGATGGTAACTATGTGGAGGACTTGATTTTTGCAGTGAACTTACATGTCCAATGACCTTAGTTTGGATGTCAGGGACAGAGGCTGTGGAGATACGACAGAGTTAGAAAAAAACCCCACATGGCTGAACTCTTGAGTCCAGTAGTCTTTTCTGTCTATGTGTGTGTGTGTGTATCTGTGTGTGTGTTGTGTATATACCAGGTTGTGCAGTGCTGGAGCAGGCATTGGTCTGCCGAGCCAGAGTACTAGCAAGTGAGATAACGTTAGCGATGACGGGTGAGGACTCCGCTGTGCCTGAGAATCTTGGAGGTGAAGAGACTGTAGATAAGAAACAGAGTCAGGAGGTTCTGTCAGTGATCAGTCCCATCACATTTTAACTGAGTGCCTAAAAATTAAAGCCAAAACCTAGAAATCCATCTCAGGTCTGGATCATATGCAACTTCAACTGACACAGGTCTAATGTCTGTGCAAAATTCAGATTCAACCCAAGATATTAGAACACCCTGCACAGTGCAGTCAGACATTGAAATTCAACAAAAGACTGACTTAAATGTGGCCTCTTTGTGTTGGAATTGGACTGTGCCTGTTACAATCTCTAGATACAATATGACAATCAAGCAACTGTTTATTAAAAAGTTTGCCATATGTTAGTGGCAGCACTAGACATAACTGCAGCAAAAAAAAAAAAAAAAAAAAAAAAAATTCAATCATGTTTCTGTGATGGTTCAGAGCTGGACAAGGTACAACGATGCCTAGCACTCTACATCAGACATTACGAGTCACTATTTCTAGATTCAGGTCCATTCAGACTTTCTGTGGGTCCATGAGGCTCAAACCCAGAACCTGTCCTGTCTGACTCTCTGGGATTTTTTCTGTTAATCACATCTGATTAACTTTTGGACCCCACAACTCAGACATGAACAGGGTTTTAAGTAGGGCTGAATGATATGCAAACAAAAATAATCATATTGTGATTATTTTGACAGATATTGCGACACGAGTCGTGATTTTATTCTTTGTTCCTTTACGTTGAGAGAATATGATTTGTAGGCTGGGGGCGTCTCTGTAGCACCACAACGCTGATGGTTCTGACAATGCACAACAATGTGACACATTTTACCTTTATTAGAAAAACCACAGCTCCTACGATTTAGATATTGCACTTAACCATATTGCGATTTTGATTAATTGTGTAACCCTAGTTTTAAGCAGCAAACAGACTAACCAACATCACATACCCGTGTTGACCATCTGGAGCTTTTTATTACAGAAGTGTAGGACACATTTCAGGTCACAGAAGTGTTTGACCTCCCCAAGCATGGGAAGACTCTGCCTCAGCTTCCCATTACGACTGCAGGTGTCACACTTAGCGACCTGACAGAGAGCAGAGGGTAAACGTGAGTTCACACGAACAAAAATGTTTAAAAAAAAAAAAAAAAACTACAGTTGCTCTTCGTTTGTGCAGTGAGGCAGCATCTGCCTAAACCTACGCGGCAGAAGAGCATGTTGTAATTTGCACTGCAGTCTTCAGAGCAGAACTCCTCATCTTTGCCATCATACTTCGCTGTCACCACTGTCCTGGAGATGGAGTGGCAGTACGCACACGACCGACAGTGTTTCCCCCACTCCTGCTCCAGGTCATGACGAAAGAGCATCTTACAGCCTGGGAGGAGAGAAAGAAGAGTCTTGATTTGGTTTCTTTACTGCACTTTTAACTTCTGATAATGAACACATAAACACAGCATCTTATATCCCAATAACAATATAATAAAACACACAATGCTTCATTACACGTGTCCATGCGTCTTCTTACCGTCACTGCAGAAGTAGCAGTCTTTGTCGTTGACCCTCTTGGCATCTCTGATGATCCGCTCATACTTACAGTATTCACACTTGCCCATGATGCTGTTGATCCTCTTAAACTCTTGAGAACAGGCCAGGCTGCACACGAAATTCATTTTGCACTGTGTGCACACAGAGTGTATTTTAACAAACATATTTAAACATATGTCACGGTGTACACGACAGTCGCCAAGCCTTTAAGATGAGATCTCATGGGTTTAAAAGGTGCTATATGTAAGTTTTCTCTGCTGCCAAGTGTGGTTTCCTGCTGGGAGCACTTGGTGGTGCTGATGGTGATTTGCCAAGAGCTTCAGCCCTCGTAATGTTTATATGCCCTCTGAGCAGCTATACATCTTCATCTTCTCATGCTGAACTGAGGGCAGACTGGACTCTACAATGACTAGTACTATTACAAGACGGGAAAGGCCAGAGCTAGCTGGTTAGTGTACTAATTCCAGTAGAATAAAATAATAGAAATAGAAACAAAACAAGAGGCAACATTGGAGTTGCTTTCCACCTCTGGAGACACCTCTTGGCTAGTAGAGGAAGGATGTTTGATGCTGAATTTGCAAAGTTTCTTAAACAGCTGTTGATGGTAACATAAGCAAAAGCTTACATGTAGCACCTTTAACTGGTAATCACACTTTGTTCAAGGGAACTTCAACAGTTTTACAATATATCAAGCCCTGAAACAACATGCCTTCAGATCATATACACTGGTGCTACCCATTTCAAAGAAACAGAGCCAACACACCTTTTTTTGCACAACCTTGGGTGTAGTTTTTATAATGCGTCGACACTGGGCACACGGCAGTTTGTCTGGTGGTTTGAGGTAATCACATTGTGTTTGGTCAGAGGCTCCTGTCGGGTTAGTGGCAGCAGTCGTGTCTTTCTGGGTCTCCTGTGGTACAGAAAAACAAGAAAATGTGCTTTTGGTATAACACCAGCAGAAGATGGTCTAAAATTAAGTTAACTAGTCATCTTCAACAAAGCACACAGAGCATGTTAACTGTAAAGAAGGAGCACATCAACCAGTGCAATGCAAAACCTATATAAAGACAGATAAAGGAGCCATTCCTTTATCTGTCTTTATATAGGTTTCACAGTTTGGGTCTATGAGACAGAGGAACAAGCTTTATAACACTGTGACACAATAATTCATAGTGGGATTAATGCTGTTGGGTCTGGTATATAAATAAATTCCACTTCCAAGAATCTGACAAGACAAAACTGAGCTTCACAAGTGTGGGTTTTATGGACCAACTATTATTATACTTTACTATTAACTATTATCATTACTACTATTGAATTATTTATTTTTAACTTTATTTTTTATATTCAGCTACTGGACACTTGAATTTCCCCTAGGGGTGAATAAAGTAAATAAAGTAAGTAAGTAAGTAAAGTAAGTAAAGTAAAGTAAGAAAAGTAAAGTAAGTAAGTAGATCTATCTATCTATCTATCTATCTGTCTATCACCATATTGCATTTTTTACTTGTACAAGAAATAGTTTAAACTTTTTTAACTATAATAATGACGACTCTGTTCTCCTTTGATCTCAGGGAAACTTTCCCTGCTGGACCGGTCTGAAAATGTTTCGTATCCTCAAAAAATTTCTCAAAAACAGATGTTGGTCATGCAGTCAAGGTCCTCCTATATACTGGTCAATATCAGGCTTTGGATACAGACACAATACTTGTTGGCAGGGTTGATTTGTTCTTGGCTTTTAGCTCTCTCTTAGCTTCACAAAAGTCTTATCCTTACTGCACATCAACTTGAAAAGAGTATTAAATTCTCCCATTTCACCTTTGTGTAGTATATAGGTTTTTGTTACCTTAAAAGCCATGGCGCAGGCTAGAGTGCAGAAGTTTCTGATGGAAGCATCTGACATGGCGAGGTGGCAGGCCGGTACTGTGGTCTTTCCACAGTTGTCACAGGTCAGTGGAGTACCTGCGGCGAAGGAGAGGTTTTGTGATAGAAGCTTTAGATAAGAATGTTAATGCATATGAATCTGAATGAAGGGCTGAGGTTTCCTGGGAGTAGAATATATATATATATATATATATATACACAGTATATATATTCTATAGAATAGATATATATATATATATATATATATATATCTATTCTATAGAATATATATACTGTATATATATATATATATATATATTCTACTCCCGATCAATCATCAATCAGATTTAATATGAAAAGCACTTTTCATACAAACGATGTAACACAAAGTGCTTTAAAATAAATCAATTACCAAAAATAAAAGTAGACTATTATAAGGAAAACAGTCTAAAAAATAATAATATAATAAAAGCACAAACCAGTAAAACAGCTTGAAATATATGAATAAATAGAAAGACAAATAAATAAAATAAACTAAATTCAACTTAAAGACAGACTAAAAAGGTAGGTCTTGAGCTTGCTTTTAAAAATAGAAAGATAAAAATGATCGGCCACAGTTTGGGTCTGATCTGGATCTCACCATACTCCACACAATCTTTAGTCTCAATGACACATGACCAGAAATGACTGAATCACTTGGTTCACTGAGAGTTAGAACATCACACAGAGAGAAAAAGAAAAAGAAGTGGAGAGAGACAAAGAGCAGCTGTGTTGACAAAATAATGGTCCAGTACCTGCTGCACTGACAGCCTGGATCTTTGACGCCATCACACAACTGCTGGTGCAGAAGAGCTCCACCACGTCTTCACTGTTTCTGTTCTCAACCATGTCTGATATCAGATTTGAGGAGTGGCACATGGCACACAGCTGCGGTGTTTTGATTTTCTGCCAAGTATCAAAAAGCAAAGAGAGAAAATAAAGTCCCATCACCAACTTAGTGCAACTAAGAGCATTTTTACATTCAAGCTTTTTCCCATGTTAATATAACATTTTGTTTAATTTGTAATTTTATTTTAGCCAGTATAGACCTCTTATAACATTTACAATTTTATTTCATCCTATATAAGGCTGATGCATTTTTATTGTCTTTTTCAATAGTCATTTTATCTTTTATTGTCTCTGTATCGCCCTATTGGTTTTACTGTGTTTCTATACAGATCTGCTTCCTCTGTCCTGATCTATATTGAATTATATTACATCTCCTCCCTCTATAACTCCATGTTTTGTACCATGTTTCTACCTTGCTTTTGACTAACATTGCTTTTGATTTGTTTGTCGAAGCACTTTGTAAACTGTTTTTAAAAGGTGCTGTATAAATAAAGTTATTATTATCATTATTATTATTATTTACATTTCTCCACCCCTCTTTATTTGAATAACCGTGTTTTATCACCATAAATAAGAACAAAGAACCAAACCATTAATATATATTTTCTCACCTTTTTGAGTTGGGTCAAACACTCTCCACTGCATAGGTTTTTGTTGCCGTCTTCCATCCTGAGCATGAGCGGTGTGTTGCAGCGGGAGTGACAGTTTACACAAATGGCCAGTTTGTTCATGTTGCAGAAACGGAGAAAACAGGGGTCGCTGCAGACCTTGTGGACGACGTCCTGCTGCACGATCTCGTGTTTGCTCTGCACGGGGATAAACAAATGACACTGTGTCAACCATAATTTATAATCCTTTAAATTCATACAAATTATGATTATGTTTTTACTATAATCAGAACATAACACACAACTGTATTTATTTTAAAACACAGTTTATAGTTATTTTATAAGATCATTTTTATAGCAGGCAATGTTTATTAATACAAAAAATAAAAATAAAATATAATTTGATCTTTTGTCTCTTACAATGCAATATCTGCTGCACATGCTGCATTGTGAATGTGACGAGACCGGCAGGATGGGTATTTTGGTAGACATGATTTTCTTGTAGTTGAAGGAGGACAGGCAGGTCTGGCTGCAGAAGTCCTTCATTGTCCCTTCATTATCCACCGGGGCCTGGAGGACATGCTGAGACTGTGTCATCAACCTGGGAGGATGAGGGAGGACGAGATCAGGTAAAAATATATAATTGTTGAAATGGTGAAAATGTTTAGATGCAGCTGAGTTGAAAGAGGTTGGTTACTACTAATGTTACATGAATAAAAACTATTTAAAAATATAATTTTAGGAGAATTTGATGGCCGTGTTGGACAGCCAGTAATAGACAGATAACAGAAAATGAGACAACAAAGATCCCAAAGTTCATACGCCACACACACACACACACACAAGTGCTTTTAAGACAAAAATCACCATGTAAATAAATGTACATATAAGAAAATTCTATTAGCATTGTCTTTCTTTCTGCATCAGAACAAGGGTGCAACTAACAGTTATTTTCGGTATTGATTTATCTATTGAGTATTTTCTATTTACCGATTAATCATTTAGCCTATACTATATCAGAATAAAGTAAAACAAATGAACATCTGAAAAAGCATCTTGTTTTGTCTGACTAGGAGTTGAAAACCAAATACATTCAAATCATCATGACATAAAACAGAGAGAAAAAAGGTAAATCCCAACCTTTCAGAAGCTGGAACTTAAGACTTAATAAATTTTTTGATTATAAAAATTGTTAGCAATCCCTTTTTTGTTGAGCGACCAACTGATTAACTAACAACTGATTTCATCACTACAGCAGACACTGAAACGTTCGTCTAAATTTTAATTATCATGTTCAAGTAAAATGAAGAATTCCTTGAAATTCTTCCAAACTAAAGCAGGAAGTGGGACATAAAGACACAATAAATCACTAAAAATGTGACTTACTGAAGACAGAACTGGCAGGTTTTCTTAACAGGTTTCATTTGGTAAAATTTTAAAAGGCAGGAAGTGGAGCAGAAGATATCTGCGTGGCCTTTCCTCTGGTAAACTGTCTCTCCATCCATCAGGACCTTTTTACAGTTGGAGCAAGACGCATGTAAATCCATGTGGGTGACAGTGGGTGGTGCCGAGGTGGAGTCTGTCGTCAAGGAGAAGACAGAATCGATCTTCAAGTCCTCCTGTAAAAAACAGAATGATTGAAAGTGATGGAGTCAGGGGAGTTTGATGTAACCTGCTGTATAGAGATAAAATCCAGAATCTCTAAATGTCTCCTTTCGTGACTCTGCTACTCTTTTCTTCATTAGTTATCAACATGCATTATTATTCATATCACTTTTACATCAATCATGATTTAAGGTGGACAGGCACAAACAGGATTTATGTTCAGGATATTATTCTTGAAAAGTAGAAATCCTGTAACGACAGAATCAAACAATAATTTTAGAAATTAATGATTACAAAGACCTGTTTCAAATGCAAGTACATTTACTTTAGTCCTGTACTTCAGTAAAAAACACTGAGGTACTTGCACATCTCTTCAGCATTTGCATTTCATTCCACAGTCCACTTCCAGAACCTGTAGTTTCAAGTTACTTTGTTTTTCATATCAAACATATGGTCAGTGTCTGAAAGATGGTTTATTGTTCATTGGAAAAACACTTCTTTTAAGTCATTTGAGTCTGTAAATGAGTTCTTAAAGTTTTATTATTACACTTACACATTTATTTTTGTCAGTTTTCATTTAGGGTAATTATTTAATGATTTGTTCATTTATTTATTTATTTATTATTTATTTGTTCAAATCCCAAGGACAATCTTTATACCTTTACATCACCTGTTTTATACCTGGGAATATACAATTAATCTAATTTTATAATCCTTTCTTACTATGAAAATGAACACTGGTAAAACCATTTACTGTCTGTATAACTTTCTTTGGCTCTATAAAACATATTTGAAAATAAAAAAATATATATATATAATATAAAAGATATACAAAAAAAAATCGGTTTTGTTACTTTCTCAAATAAACCTTTTCATAATTATTCTGCTACAACCTGTTATTCTTTATTATTTCAAGATACAGACACATTTCTAGGACATTTCTATACCAGCTAATTTAAATTAAATATTGAAATATAGTTTCTCTTTTGCAAATTTAGTTTTTAGGATTAAATTACAGACACACTGCTTTGGAAGTTTCATGTTTTAGCTTTTAAACTTAGCTTAGTACTTAGCTTCACCTCCACATCTACACATCAGTTAGAATAATCAAATTAACTATCTGAAAGGGGCCATTATTCCTAACAAGTACTTTTTACTGTTGATGTTTAAAATACATTTTGCTCATAATAATTACATATCTTTACTTAAATAATATTTTCAATGGTGGACTTTTAATGTAATGTAAATGCTTTATGGTGCTGTACACATAAATATGTCCTCTCTGATTCTTTGTGTTTAGCTTCTGATGAGCTGTAGTGTGACCTGTATGTCGTACCTTCGCCACATTTGGCTCATCCTTGATGTCCTCTGCAAATATGGAGGGTGGAAGAATCTGGTCGTACTCTTCATCGATGGGCTCTTCTTTTATCTTAATGAGGAGTGAAGAAAGAGATGAATAAGCTATGGGACTTGTAGGACAGACTGGTCTGTGTGGAGTATTGTGACTATTCCAACTCTGAATCTACTTTCACACTGCAGCTCATCCAGAGAGAGAACACTTTGCTGTAGTCCGACTTTCTGGTGTTTCTACTTATCAGTCACAAACTCAGTTGTATTCCTACACTGTATCACACCCATCACTGCAAAGGTTAAAGAAACCTCATTCATGCTGTGACTGTTCATATCAGAAATTAGGTTTAAATTCATAACCTTGATTCAGCGTGTTACAATTATCAGAGAAGACATTATTTAACTCACACAGTCAAGATTTGGTAGGGACGGCTTCACATCTTTGATATCACTCTCTTCAGATGAAGGGTTGATCTTTTCTATAAAGATGAACAAATTATGGTCCACAGAAGGTAGGAAATTTTCTTCAGACACATTTTGAAGACAAACATAGACAGAGCCAGTGGTGTCTTTCTATTTCTATTTAAGTTATCTTGCTTTTGCTTTATCTTTCTTAATATTTTTTTCTTCTTCTTTATGTTCATTGTTATGCATCAAAACACCAAAAGAAATTCCTCATATGTCAGAGCTACTTGGCAATAAACCTGATTCTGATTCTTGTCTACATAACAGATAAACTTTAAGTTAATGAGGAGATAAGAACGTGAGGAAAAGAAAGTTACTGCTTTTAGCAAAGGAAGCAGACAAACACAATCTATTCCACACCTTATGTTTGTACACTGCTGTAGAAACTCATTAGATATTCTTTAACTAAAATTCATTTTTATTTGTATAGAACAATCTCATTCTAAAGAAGTTCAAAGTGCTTTACATAAAAACAGAAAAAAAAAAGAAATTCGGTGCAACAGTACCTCAGCAATGCAAAGTAAGTTGGTGGTGAAAATTGAAAGTTGGAAAAGAGGGAAAAAGATTTTCATTTTGAAAATATTGCTGTTAAATACCTGTCACAGTGAAAGACTGCGCCTTGTACACAATCATACATCTGTTGCTGCAGAAGAAGTCCAACCTGCCCTCTTCGTTTTTATTTTCAACCATGTCTGACAGCTGATGTGAAGTCTGACACGTGGGGCACAGCTGAGGTGTCCTGACTTTCTGCACAGTTAGAAAAAAAAAACAGAACATGGCTGATGTGAGGCTCATAAACGTGTTTGAACTTGTGAACTTTTAATTTTATTTAAAAATGATAAGACCATGACTGATGTTTGATTTCTGCACCTCTTTGCACTTGACCAGACACTCTTCACTGCAGATGGTTTTGCTGCCGTCCTCCATCTTCAGCATGTATCGTCTGTCGGAGCAGATGGAGCTGCAGACGTCACAGGTAGACACAGGCAGGTTGTTGACTTTGTGGTAGTTAATGAAGCAGGTGTCGCTGCAGAGTTTATGGACCGCACCATACAGGGTCAGCTTGAATTTGCACTGAGGACGACAAAGGAGCATGTGTGGGGTAATTATTTTACATAGACATTAAACTGTTTATTCATATTTTATATAGAGTTTGTGGTAAATTAACACATTTAAAAGGATACTGCTGGATATATTCTTTATTTGTCTTACTGTCATAAAGCTGGATCATATCTGGAGCATATCCGGAAATTTTTTTTTTTTGATATGACATCTTGTGATCAGAGCATGTCCAGTGCAGATTTAATCATATATGGGATCATAGTTTGAATTATCTGGGTAACTATATCTCCAGATTCTAGGCTATTTTATGCAGTTCATGCAGGGACATTGCTCCAAAAATCTATTACGTACTGTAGTAGCAACTGCAAGACAAGACAAAACACCATACAATCAGAAAAGCAACCTGATATATGCGGTCAAATGCAGTGAGGAATGCAATGACCTATATATTGGGGAAACTAAACAACCTTTAAACAAACGTATGGCCCAACACAGAAGGGCAAACTCTTCAGGCCCTGTCTCAGCTGTCTACTCCCACCTAAAGGAAAAGGCACACTCCTTTGAAGACAGCAATGTCAAAATCTTGGACAGGGAGGACAGATGGTTTGAAAGGGGAGTCAAGGAAGCCATCTATGTAAAAGTGGAGAGGCCATCGCTAAACAGGGGAGGTGGTCTGCGACACCATCTATCCCCCATCTACAATGTCGCCCTTTCATCGGTACCCAGGAGAGTCAACAACATAACCTCAGACGACTCTCAACGATCGTCATCCACCAGGGGCTCAGCTGACCCTAACGACTGTGGTTCACACGGGATAACAACAGGGTCACCTGACCCTAACGACGGTCGTCCACATGAGACCACAACAATGGTCAGGTGAAACCAGTACTTTCACAGGTACTTTGGTGGACCCACCCACAAGAGGTTAAATACCTGGGTCCTACTCCACTTTCTTGGTCAGACTAGTGCGGACTAGAGAGACCAATACATGATGAACTGATGAAGCCGCTTGGATAAGAGGCGAAACGTCTTCCACAGACAAATACAAGTCCAGTTGCCTTCGATTCAATTTGAGAGAGAGATAAATCTGATGGATGTGTTCACACGTTTCCACATTTCACAGTTTGACTCTGTCTAAGATGTTAATTTATTGTCAATCCTGATAATTATTCCAGTTTTTATTTTGTGTTTATGAGTCACACTGTTGCACTGTTTGAGTCACTCCCACATCCACCATCCTGCTGCTGTAAATACTCTTGTGTAATGGTGTAACTGTTTGAAAATAGTCCCCATCAAATACAGTTACAGCTGTTTAAGTAACATTTGCCAGAAACTACAGTACAGCACTTTTTAATAATTTGCTGAGGCTGTTTATAAATAATGAAACTATATATTTGCTTGGGACTGAGGGCCACAGGCAAGTTACATGTTGGGAAGTTGTTAAGTATGTAAGTATGTGTAAGAAAATATACAATTGCCTTTTGTCAGTTACTTTTTTTTCCTTACATAACAAAATCTGGCGCACATCCTGCACTCTGAGCGGGGTCCTACTAGCGGCGGGGGTTTTGGGGTGGCCATGTCCCTCTTGGATTGGACAGAGCTGAGGCAGGTCTCGCTGCACAACTCCTTCATAGCTCCTGAATCATCCACTGGAGCCAGGATGACGTTGTGCGGCCGCATTATTACCCTGAGGAGACAAGGATGAATGAAATTAGGATGAGATTCCTAGTCAGGAGAAAAAACTGCACACAGGAGATATGTTATGACACAGCGACGTTCAAGGATGGGTTAAGAGTTCATAAAAACCTCAGTCCACCGAATTTAGTGCAGCAGTTGCAGTACCTTACTGCACAACACTAGTCTATAAAGAGGGTAACTAGTTCCATTTTTGCAACCAATGATTATTTCTGTTAACCATGAATCTGAATTTATCCAATATTAATCTGGTCTATTAAATTCCAGAGGATACAAAAAAAAAAACATAATTTTTGAAGCTCAAGTGATGTAATTAAATTACTTGTTTTGTCTGATCAAGACCAAAAACCATAAAAAATTTTAACTTTATCGTCATGTAACACAATGAAAAGCACCAAGCTGGAACTAGGGAATGCTTGTTTTGTTTTTGCTTGAAAAATTACTTAAACAACTAATCAATTATAAAAGTAGATGACTGATTATTTTTCTGTTGACAATTTTAGTCCAATCAACTAAAAAAATGGGAACGTAACTGTTAAATTTTGGGTTAATTCACATAGGACACAGTTCAACCTCTCTGTCTCTTTTATACAGACAAATAAATCAGGCATCAGTCGTAGAAAAGCATGAAGAAAAATATCCTGGACTTACTGGCAGCAGTTGTAGCAGTTCTTGGTGACCATTTTGATGTGTGGGTGTCTTTCAGAGAGACAAGAAGCAGAGCAGAAAACCTCTAACGAGCTCTTCGGCTGGTAAAGTGTCTGTCCTCTCGGCAGCCTCTTCCCGCAGTTGCAACAGACAACGCACGAGTCTGCGATGATGAGTGTTGGAGTGGCGTCGGATTCAGCAGCTTTCGAGGCTTCATTTTCGTTTACAGTTGAGTCAGAGCTGACCATCATGTCTTCCTGTAACATGATGCACAGTTATGATACAGGGATTAGAGGCTGTCCCTGGACTCACATGTATCAGACAAACTTATTTATTATATGAAATATGTAAATATACTCACAATATTTGATTTTTGTTGTGATTGTTTTTCCTTTTTCCTCTTTTTCAACCGAGATGAGCTTTTCTTTCCTGAGAGGAGAAATCAGAAACATGTGTCACTTTAAAGCCCCTTAATAAGCATTTATCTACTATATTATTATATTGGCAGCAGCATGTCAGACACGAACACAAAGAGACTGGATAAGCTGGTAAAAAAGGCCCGGTCTGTGCTTGGCAGGAGTCTGGACTCACTCAGGACTGTTATGGAGAGATGCATGCAATGTAAGATGGAGGCCATCTTGGACAATACCAACCATCCTCTCCACAACATCCTGGCAGGACAGAGAAGCAACTACAGCTGCAGCAAATGTCTCATCTCACTGCACTGCAGAACAGAGAGGTTCAGGAGATCCTTTGTTCCCACTAACATCAGGCTGTACAACACCTCAACCACAGGAAGTGGACTAATCTAATTATTATTGTTTATTTATTATTAACTGTTTTTATTATTTTCATTATTATCATTATTATCAACAATGAGCTAATGGACACATGAATTTGCCCTAGGGGATAAATAAAGTATCTATCTATCTATCTATCTATCTATCTATATTAGCATTATATTAATAATAAATGGTTTAAATAATATAGTTCTAAGCAGCTGTAAGGACACTTTAAAGTGTAAATTCATTTGAGTATTCGTCTACAATTGTAACATTGAAGATATATTTATATTATTATAAAGGTGTTTGACTCTTATCATTCCTATTCTGTCTATTTTTAATTATTTATTTATTTTCTCCTGGACCATTTTATTTTTCTACAAACAAAAACTTTTGACATCTTAACCATTAGAAATATGTTGTAATCACATAAATATTCTAACTAACTAAATATTCTAACTCTTCACACAAGCTTGACATAGTCTCCTAATTCTATCTGTGCAAAGCATTTTAGGATCCTCATAGAACTGGTTCAGACTCAGGTGCTCCTACTACAGGTTTTATAATCCAATTTCATGCCAAAACCTGTGCCAATATACAGCTGCGTCCTCTAATGGGTGCCCAGAGGATAAGTTACAGTTGTCAAAACATACATAAATATACACTTATACAAGTACTTACAACTATATAATAGTGTGTTTAAAAATGATTTCTAAATATGTATACAATGTAAATGAAAAACACAGTAAGTGAAAACATCTGTAAAAATTATAACCAATGAGAGAACTGCAGACATATTTAATTTTGGGGATTGGAAGTAAAGGTACCGACAGCCTGTGCGATAACTACAGTCTCACTCAAACTGCAAGATGAGTCTAATAAAGAGGTCACAATCTGTGTCAGACTGCACACTATCTATTTTAAGGCATTTCAGATAGAAGGTCAGATATTACAAAAAAAAAAAAAAAATCTGTTCTGACAAACTTATCTTCTTCTACCTTGAAGTTTGTATATGATAGCAGGCCGTAGCTTGTATGACGTCACACAGGTGCGAGTGCAGAAGAGCTCCACCACGCCCTCGCTGCTTTTGTAGTCAACCATATCTGACATCGGTTGATTAGTGTGGCACATGGTGCACTGGTGCGGTGTTTTGATTTTCTGCAGAAAAACAAAACAAGAAATTAATCAGCAAGCAGACGTCTCAGCCTCTTCCTGAGTGATAGCTGGATACGATGCTCGAATACTGATGTTAGACACAGATTTAAATGTAGTTTGCACAGTTCCTGTAACGTCCCCACCAGAGTTGATGCTGCAGCAATGAATGGATTCACCACACTGCATTGCTGAAGCTGTTTTTAATGCTTTGAGCTAAACCCCTTATTCCCCCTAAGGGAAATCTCCATGCTTCAGCAAACAAGGGTATTTTAAAAGGATATCGGTGGCCAGGTTTGGGCAACAGTAGAGCGATTCATAAAGAAATGGTTTTCCCAGTCTGGTGTGGAAGAACTTGACTGGCCTGCACAGAGCCCCGACCAACATCTTTGGGATGAACTGGGATGTCATCTGAAATCGCCCAACATCAACGACTGACCTCGTTAATGCTCATGTGGCTGAATAGGATCAAATCCCTGCAGCCAGGCTCCAAAATCTGTTGGGAAGTGAGGCTGTTGTATAAAGCAGATTAATACCAGTGGGTTTGGATATGTTTGTCCATACAGTGCGGGTCGGGCTATTTTACCCATTTCTTATTAAAAAGCCAAATTTAATGTAGCTTATTCTTCAATGATGAAGAAGCTGGTGGTGTTCTCGTTATTTCATGTCCTACATGCTATATAGTGTTAATAATTCTGTGAGAGTATTTTCTAGTAATTATTTAGTGATGAGAGACAAAATATTTTCCTGTTACAGCTTCTGAAATGTGAGGATTTACTCCTATTCTTTGCTTTCTATCGTTACAGATTTTAATTTTGGCTGGTTTTTATTCTGTGCCAGTTTCTGACAGTTTTCTTGTAGAAATAGCTGAGAGATTATAAGAAAATGGTTGTTAGTTGTCAGTTGCAACCCTAGAACGTTTAATAAGGATGAGGATGTAATATATATTTTTATATTTCTAATTCCATTAAACGACCAAAACCAAGGATGAATTTATTCTTCAAACAACCCTGTGTAGTCAAAGCCTAATACATCTTATTTCTTTGTGTCAAAGATCTCCATTTTTGAACCACACCGCTGCACTGGATGACATGTTCTTTCATCACACTGAACAGAGCCTGTGTAGTTTATTTTGAAGCAGCTCCAAAGACTAATAATAGCATCCATTTTTTTCATCTCAGGGGATGTTTCTGTGGCAGCACATGCTCGAGGAAACATTTCTGTACCCTGAAATTAAAACATTAAATTTTTGTGTGAATCTACAATCTTAACACTGAGCTACAATATAATTCAACGTACATAAGCTACAGAGGCCTTGTATTAAACATAATCATGGACATAGATTTTAGAGGTTCATTCCACTGGTTTTGCAGGTGTACTTGTACATTACCAACAGCCATTTCACAAATAATCCAATTTTGGCTCCAGGTCATTACAGTATCCTATCAATACAAACATCATATTGAAAGAAATGTCTGCACTGTTTTTTGTTAGTGACTTAATTTTGTATTTTATTGAGCACAGTCGAGAGGGTCCCCACAAATGAAGAGTGATCAGCTGTAGCAACTGGCAATGCATCAGGTTTGAATTTTTAATTGTATTAGGATTCCTTCGATAGGTAGTCGCTGACAGTAAAATGACAACTGTACACGTTACCTCTTCCAGTGTGATGATGCCATAATCTGGGTGTTTGATTGCAATGAGCCATAACTGGTCACTGGTCTTTAATAATCAATAATGAAGTGGGTGCTGAGGGGATTAAATGTCAGAACATAGTGAAAAATGCTTATCATTATTTTTTAACATTTTCTAACTGCTTGTTTTGTCTGACCAACAATCAAAAACAGGACAATGGTGCGTTCACTGTCATAGGAAACTTTACAATATAACCATTTAAGAGGCTGGAACTGGTGAATATTTGGTATTTTTAATTTAAAATGATTCAAATGATTAATCAAAATTATTAATCACTTTATAAAGTGGTACCTAATTATAAACCATTTATAAAGGGTAGACTTATTGTAAAGTGGTACTACTCAAAACCTATGCCAATTAATTTTCTGTCAACCCACTATTAATTAATCAAATAATGATGGCAGTACTGATTGATTTCAGGTTGGGGGGTTAACAGGGGCCTAATGACAAGTTATTGCCCCTAGTCTACTCACAGGTTAATCCGGCCATGGTAAAATATTTTTGTGTAATAAGCCTTTATATTATTCCCAAATATATTTACATTATCCCGCTGCACTTCTCTCAGAGCCAACTGACCGTTACCTGTTGCTGGGACAGAGACGTTGTCGGTACGGTTTCTGACTCTGGCTCCGTCCATGGGAACAACGACGGGACGGCACCCCGCTTTAACGCTGCGTAATAATTTCTCTGCCCGCCGATGTAGTCCTGATGCCTGAAGTGATCACTGCACACACGCAGGCCGTGAATCCTGGTCATCAGTACGGTTGTAACTTTTGGGTCGAAACGACTGTTCTCGATGGCCTCCAGCCACTCGCGGCACAGAACCGGATTGGACGGGAAAACGTGAAATTTTTGCGGGGTGGACAGTCTTGACGTGCGGACATTTCCACACCCGGGTACCGAACACCTCATTTCCCCACGGTGAAAATGAAGATAAAACGGCGACTTTTCGCTGTTCAGACTGTAAACACCACCACAACGCCGAGTCTAATACACAGACAGTACTGCAGTCTTTTACTCGTCTACTCCTGCAATTACGGTACAGGTGCTGCAAGCAGCCAAAAAGCGCGACACAAAAACAAACGGCAACAAATTTTGACATATGACAAATCTGTCTTTTATCACTACAGTACACCCTTTAAAAACTTCTTACTTGATCTTATGTATTTAAATATTTTTATTTATTCAAAATTTTTTTTTTTTTTTTTTTTTTAAATGCAATTTTGATGTCATCTGAATGTCGCGAGACAACATCTAATTTTTCTGCCAGTATTTGCAAAAAATCCAACCGGATTTCAACGGTTCGGTAGTAATGTTCTTTACCGGTCACGAGGAGCCTGAGTCTGTTGATCTGAAGCTCGTAAGTTCGAGTCTCACTCGGAGCCTGTTTTAGAGACTTTGCAACAACTGTCAACTGACTGTTTGGTGTCTTGTCGGGTATGTTTTATTGTATTGTGTATATTGTTGCACTTATGTTGTTGTTTTTTTACCCGTTTTAATACCACAGTTAGTTCTGACCAAGTAATTTGATTGGACAGAGGCATTCCATGAGTTATGAGTACAACAGCACTTTTAACTAAATGTATCACCCTGCTTTATAGGTGTTCTATTAACCGTAAATTTGCGTTACATTAACGGTCGTTATCTATTTTGCATTACAACAAACTTGCAAAGATGAATATAGTTCCAGAAATAACGTTTGAATAAATTGATGAAGTGGATGAAGGGAAGGGAAGAAGCTTGGACACTGCAGTGCACACCTGAGTTAACCTGTAAACAAAGTAGCAAGCTAGTGTGCACTGTGAAGGTCAAGAAATTGTTTATGTCTTCGAAACAGTGCAGTACCAGTCCAGTTGCGGAACTATTTGTGTTGGTGCTGTCAAATAAATGATGAAATTAAAAAAAACAAATCATAATCTGTTGTTGTTTATTACTGTTAACTAATATGTTGCTCGTAGAACAGCAATATCACACGAGAAGGAGTGATGCTGTCCTGAATATCAGCAGGGCTGTGATTCGGTCATAGGACTGAAGACTGAAGTATTATCTTAATTAATTATCCGTTTCCCATTTGGGATAACAAAAAGTCTGAATCTGAATCTTGAGCAGTACAATCCCTGCTCAGATGGCCAGTGACTACATCTGACTACTACCACTTAAATATGTATTCATCATACTGTCCTTTTTGGGGGGTAAAAAAATGAGAAAATTACATATTTTGCTGATCTTTTAAAGTGAAAAGAAGTACATACACCCTGCAGCAAATAGTCATTAAAAAATGTCTTTTAATGTCAATGTATTTTTACCTTTTGTTTCATGAATAAAAAAAGAAAAAGTAACTATGGTATATTGACAGTGGATCTGACTTAATCAGAATTATTTAAAAAAATAAACTTTAGAATGAGTTTTATATGGGTAAAGTAATTTTTTTTATGACAATGCATACTGACATTTCAGGTGACTTTACCTACACCTTTACAATTCATACAGAATTTTCATCAAGATATTTATAGTATGTCATATGTAATTTAAGATTAATGGGTCTTGTCTAGTGTTCAGTGTTCTTGTGACAAATATTTTTTTTTCTTAAGTGAGAACTCATTGAGTTTTTTGGCTGTTCTCAGTGCCTGTACCATAATTGCACGAATAGACACACAAATGAGCAGCGGCTGGGCTGACCGCAGGGTCCTTGGTACCATAAATAGCCAAATGTGCATTAATGTGTGGCTGAAAATTGTCCCAAACAAATGCACGACTTAATCCTGCCTCAGTAACTCCTCCTGAGCTAAAAGCCCACTTCTGGCTGGCTGAAGGCCACGCAATGTTCGTTTTCCTTTTTTTTGTGGAATCTGTTGACAATAACAGAAATACAGATAACGGCAGCTTTATCATTCTAGCATATTGTACCTTATTCCCATTTTGTCTTTGAGATCATTATTATTATTACATATTATCAATTATTATGCAATCTACCTTTTTATGTTTTCCTCTTTTTCATATCAATAAAGTGTAACAAAACTAAATATGTCACCAAAATGTTCAAAATATTAATTTGACATGCTCTGTCTATTTCAACAATAAGCATATTTTCTCTACAGCTACCAAGTCAGTAACCATACCGTTTTATGCACACAGCATGTATATAACATGATTTGCTGTAGATTCAGCCACAATATGATGATTCTGGACCTGCACTTTGCACAGTTTTAGTTGTGAGTATTTTTGTGCTTTGTGATTGTGATATTTCTGCACCTCTTTGAATTCTTGCAGACATTTCTCACTGCAGATGGCTTTCGTTTCCTCCTCGAGCTTCAGCATGAGCGGCTGGTTGTGGCAGAGGGAGCTGCAGTTGTCACAGGTGGGCATGTTGTCCCTGCAGAATCCTTCCAAGCATGAGTCGCTGCAAAACTTGTGGACAGCTTCTTGCAGGGTCAACTCACATGTGGTCTGTGGTAGATAATGATAAAGGAGCAGTGAGTACAACAAAGACTTTAACTTTTTTTTTGTTTTGAGGCTGAAGAAATTGAGATTTGTTTTTACTTACAGTGCAGGATTTGTTGCACATGCTGCAGAGTGACTGTGGTGTTTGGGTGGGCACACTGTTTGTCTTGAAGGAGGACACGCAGGTCAGACTGCAGAAGTCCTTCATAGTTCCTTTAATGTCCACCACAGCCATGATGAGGTCCAGAGGCTGCGTTATCGCCCTAACCCAGAGGAGGGGAGACGATAAAGAGTTTGATACATCAACCTTTAATACGTTGACTAAACGTTTTACACAGAACAATATGATGAGATAATCAGGGCGTTTTTTCAACAGTATATTCATCTTTGTTATCTATTTGAACCTGCACTAATGACTATGGTTCAAATGGCTGTGTAATGTGATAGGAGGTCACATGTAGCAATGAACTCACAGAGAATTATCAGCTGACTCAGAGCTTTATAGCTTATTTCAGCTCACTGTCTTTCCATTGCTTTTCATGCAGCCACTGGTTTCAACTCATTCAGAATGTTATGAAAATCAACTTTTAGAAACTTGAAATGTAAGTAACGATAAGTTATTTGTGCAAGTGAATATAATGCTTGCATTTACTGTTGATGTGGGAACCACTGGGAGTTCTAATCAGCAACTTAAAGCTCCATATAGTCTAAAGGTAGATGTCCATGTGTTGTTTGATTATAAAGCAGGTCTAGGTTCTATATTAATACTGTGAAAGTATCAAAGCGCTCAGTCCAGAGAAATGGACGGATTCAGTAACAATGAAGTTTTAAGTCTCCACCAGTTAATTTTCCTACCATAATGAAATAACTGGGAACCAGCAGCTGACTGAAAGCTAGGAAAAACACACTAAAACCTTTTATACTACAAAGGCTACAAGGTCTACTTCATGCAAGAATACTGGTCTGGCTGTTTGAGAGGTGATGTTTTTCTCAGACTGACTTGTGACAGTAATGGCAGGTCTTGGTGTTTGGTTTGTTGATGGGGAACATTTCAAACAGGCAGTTTTTGGAGCAGAAGACATCAGTGAATCCCTTCTTCTGGTACGCAGTCTGTCCCATCATCATGCTCTTGTTGCAGTGGGAGCATGTCATGTGAACGGCCTGACAGGGAGGAGAATAGATACAGATTTCAATATTGTATATGCATACAAACAATGTTTAGTATATGACATTTGAAATACAACTGCATTAAGTTACTACAAAATACTAAAAGGGAGAACCTTTTTTTAAAGATTTGACCCTTACTGTAAAGATTCTATGCTTTTTATTTTTGTTTTTATTCCTCACACTTTATTAATAAAGGTGCACACTTTCCCTTAAATTACTTTACAGTGACAAATGACATTTTTCTTTTCAATTTATATAAATTTTATGAAGCCAAATACTTTATCCACTTGTCAGGAGAAGTACATTTCCCCACCTTGTTTTTGGCATCTGTGGATCTAGAAGATGTTTCGCTCTGGTTGCTGCCGTCTTGGTTGGGTTGATCTCTCACCGGCCACTTATTACACACAGGTGATAACTGGGAAATATGAACTGGAGTATGCAAATTCTAGTAGGAGAAAAGAAAAAAAAAAAAAACACAAGAAAAAAATAAACAAAATAAAAAAAGTCACCTGAGAAAACTGTAATGCTGTGATTTGATTTCACTGACTACATTTTAGGTTAAACTAGTAAGTCTGTTTTGTGTCCATCGTCATTTCTATCTATAACTAGAAATAAACACGGTAATAATTGTGTCAACTGTTGGACAGTAGAAAATAGATTTACAGTCATTGGAAGAACCATGAATATAATGAAAACTTTAATTCATACTTTGACCCAGTTTTTTAATTATTATATGAGATAAAACATCAAGTAACTGGATACTTACCATGTTGAGTTTTGGGATTACTATCTTCACTTCTTTCATTCCAGTCACTGCAGCTAATAATCTGTTCTTCTTTTCTATAAATCACGTGAAAACATGTTTTTGTTATAATTTGTTAAAATACTAGCACTGACATTGGATGGGCTGCACTGAAATTTTGCACAGACATTTGTGGTCCACAGAGGATGAACCATACCAACTCTTCCTCTAGTGCCTCCGTGAAAATGATGTTTTTGGTTTTGTCATGAATTCTACTTCAGATTTTCAAGGTCCCATGAGAATAAATTATGGTGACTCTGCTGAACTTTTTCTCCAGCGTTATAAACAGGTTAAGTTTAGACTTGTTTATTGAATAGCCTGACATCTACTAGACGGATTGGCACAAAATTAGACATTCATTTTTCATTATAATATGTCCTAATGACTTTTGTGATGCCCTGACTTTTCCTCTAGCGCCACCGGATTTAAGGTGGCAGAGAAGCTTCTGCTATCCACATCCATCCAGTCAGTTTGTTACTCACCTTTCTCTTTATCTTTTTTCTCCACATGCTTCTCTGCATCAATGTCCATGGTGTCTTCACGGTCAGTGTCAGTGGTGTGCTTCTTATGATCCTGCTTCGTGGTTTTATTGACGTCTGTCCTAACAGACATCACCGCTGATGCATTTGAGTCACCATCTCCATCATTTTCCACATTTCTGACATCCTCATCAGAGTCTATGTCCATATCAAAGTCCACATTCATGTCCTGATCATCATCATTATCACTAAAACCACGAGATGGTGTTTCCTCAGGTGTTTTGATATCGTTCTCTGTGTTGTCCTCATAATTTTTCTCTTTATTCAGCTCAGACTCCTCACTTTCACTCTTCTTCCTCCTGCCTCTGCCTCGTTTTCTCGACGAAGAAACTCGTTTTTTAGTTGATGAAAAGGAGCCTTCTGAGGACAAAAGACCAAAAAGAGACAGAGACAAGTATGTGAGAAGAGTATCAACACTTTTCTTGGTCAATATTCCCAGATAAACGCAGCTAGAAACCTAAACAATGAGCTGAAACTCTCTACAAAGCTCAGTAAAGCAGATGATTCAGGTGATAACTCTCTGTAGGTTCGTCACTATGAATGATGCCTGTCACACTGTCTCATTGTTTTCACTTTGCTATTTGATCCATTATTATGATAAAAATATAAATTATAGCCGCTTTTAAGTTTAACTGATCTCGACTCATTTAAAGATACATCAATGGGCATTTGTTATATTCGTCAATAGCAGCAAAACAAAACACAAGACAAGTTGCCAGACACCCACGTCACAGCCACCGATAATTAGGGAAGGTAAGTAACTTAATGTGGCTCCACATAATTTGCATATAATTATGATTATCTATGTCGTTCCTTGTTCAAACACGCGTTATCAATTTCTCTTTTGCAAAATAATCAACTAAACATCTGAAGCATTTCTGTCACCTTTCAATTTCTTGACAAATGCAATTCTTTGTGTTAATTTTGTAGAGCAGGCCTGGATTGGGCATAGATGAGCAAATCTATTCCTTGTTTGTCCATTAACATACCTCTAAATACAATCTATGTAAATATATAATTATTTTGTTTTTGATTCCGATTTATTGGTGGTTAATCTTGTTTCAGTTAAAGAAAATGCAGTGACGTGTATTACAAGCCTCAATGCCTAAAAACGAATATAACACAGATCAAAGGCTAGTAAGAGTTTATATGTTTATTACATACTGCTCGGCTGAAGAGAACCGCCTGCATCTTCATCGTCCTCTTCAGGATCATCAGCGTCATCACAATTGTTCGGCTCCACGTATGGCTGCACTTCATCTTCAAAGGAAAGTAAGACAAGTACATGTGTGTTGTAACAAGAGGAATGGGTCATATGAATCAATATAAAGACATTAATGCAGTAATCTTGATATCACAAAAGCATCCATTTCATCAGAACAAAAACTTTATTAATGCTGGTCTTTTTTTTTTTAAGAATCCAGTAAAAACTATGAATCAACTTTCTCTAGCTCTAAGTACAGGCCTTTATCTACAAAACACACACTTATATCAAAAGGTTTGACATCCTTTAAAAAGATATCCCGTAGAGTTTTTGACTCATGCATGCACATATGAACGTGAATAAACATTCTTACCAATGGTCTAAAGCTCCATATTTTACCCTTTCAGAGTGTTTCAGTTGAAATGTCAATCCATAAGAAGATATATTTGTGGTTTTAAGAACCAAAAACTGTCTCATTATATTTTCACATCTCCTCTCTTATGCCTCTCTCTGGAGCTCTAGTAGCAACAGGGCATTTTGTGTTTGTCTCTGAACCTTTATTCTGATTGGCTGATTTTTCTGAGATTGTAGCCTACTATTGTAGCTTGGTAAATGCAAATGGCGATGGTCAGTGAATGTGGAAATGGACCGGACAGACGGTGAAATGCATTTCAGAAAGAAATTATTTTAGCCACTGGTCACTAATGTTACTGTCCTTAGGAAGGCTGTGCAATGATGTAATGGCTTCCTGACATCCGAAGATTTTTAACATTAATCCACTGACTGACAGGTGGCAGTAATGTACCAAGAAACTCACTGGTCTGCCTGCAAGTGGAACAGAAGAAGAAGACTACTCGCACGTATACAAGGATGTAATCAACACTGGTTTCAAAAGTTGGGCCCAATCCTAATGTCCCCCCTCACTGACTTGGAGGTGCGTTCCCAGTAAGTTTGTGAGGACTTAGGGCTGTCCCACTGTCAAACCATGGAGGGCATTAGGGCTCTCCGGCAGACACTTTGAGCCCTTTATGGACACTTTGTGTTAGTCCGCATTTCTGTAGGCTTTGCCTGAGGGAATTACCCAAAGTTCAGAGCTTTGTGATGTAAAACACGGGGTTGCCATGGTTATCAGGGGGATGCCCAGAAGCGTAAAAAAAGGGCAAACAATGGCCATAAAACTCAAGAAATAATAAGATAGAAGAAGAACGGTTAACAAACAAGCATGAAAGGAATGAATCCCAATGTTAGCATTACAGGAAAAAAGACAGTACAGGACCGTATAAACACAGAGCTCACTGTGATTCAGAGCCACTTATTTGTCCTATGATGACGTGATGATGAATTCCATACATCCAAATTGGAACAGATCTGATCCAACATTTTTTTTTTTTTTTTTACAAACAGGGAGAGAATAAAAATGTACAATCAAAAGTCCCAAACCCACAATTGAATGCAAATGTTTTGGCATCATCAAGGTAACGTGATATAAGTGTTGTCCCATTCCTCTTTATACCATTTTGAGCCCTTGCAGCCTCTTGCACTCAATCACTCACCAGGTGACGTTGTCTGTGAGGGTTCAGGGCCTAGGGTTTAGGGGCGACATTGGTACTGGACCTTTATGTTTTGAGTGACGCAAATGTTTCGAGGGAGGAAATGCAGTGAACATGTTTGCTAGGCCTTAAGGATACACAGTGAACTTTGTGAGTAAAGCTGACTGTAAACATAACTTTTGTTTGTTTACAAGAAAACTCCCACAGGGCACCTTTAAGTTTTGAACTAGTCACATACCTGAAATCTCAATTTCCTCAAACGATTTTCCTTCAAATCTTTCAAGAGTTCCACTCTCCATTGCCAAGAGCAGCTCTGAGATTTTTGCGATGTCGAGCGCTGCCTCTGGCATCTGGTAATGCTCCCTGTCGGTGCAAATGTCCCAGCCCAGCACTCTGGCTAACTGATCCAGCTCGTCATTTGTGAAGCTGAGAATCTGGAAAATTCTTGCGATGTGCTTTCGAAAAAAAATAGACCTGAGGTTCTCTGGTTTCTTTGCTCCACACCGAGCTGCAAAGGTGCTGATGCACGTTTGTCCCTGGTAGAAGCTTGTACATATGGCCACAGGTCTTGCAAATAAAAAGGGATTACGTTCATGCACGCCACATGCCTCTCTCTTGGTCACAAGCAGCGTTATTGCGCTGAGCAGCTCGGGTGTCAACATAACAGCAACTTTTTTCTCAACATTTTTTCTGCCACTCTTAGTCATAACATTGATCTTCACATTGCGCTTGGACAGAATTTGCTCAAACTGTGACTGACAAACAGCAGCGTCTCCATGAAGCTCAGTCTCCTCCCTGTCCTGGAATGACTGGAGGGTGACTTTTGAAACTTCAAACACATTTCTGTTTAAGATTAATACCTGTGCAACTGTCACTCTGAGAAGTGCATTATAGACTGGAGCGCTCTCATACATGGTCAGGCTTTTGACTGCAGATGTTGCTGTCTTCTCCATGCACTGGTAGAAGAGCTGCACGTCCTGTGTGAACGGTACGGTCGGCGGGCTGTTTATTTTTGATAATGTTGAGGGGGTGTGGCTCCATTCTTCTGCACACAACTTCATAAAAGTCTCTGCATCTTGTATCGTCTCTTTATCGGCTTCCTCCTTCAAAGCCCTGGCGTATCTAATGTCACTCATTTTCTTGAGCGAATTTCCCAATCTCACCACAACACTCGGCCTGTCACATGACTTCGTCTCCTCATTGAAACCAGCGAGCTCTCGGACAGCTTCAACAACTTTGCTGAAGTTTTCAGTTTTGATAGCATCTTCAAAGCTCCTTATCGACTTTTTTCTTAATGTTATTAGGAGTCTTCCCATTAGCCTCAGCCTCTGTTTGATGTCTTCGGCTCTTTCTTTCTTTTCATTCATGAGGCACAAACACTGTGCCAGCTGCAGAATATAAGAATCACTCCAAACTACAGATGAAACCTCATCTTTCTTCAGGGTTTTTAACAGCTTCCTCACCTCTGATGGGATTTCTTGAGGGTCTGCAGACACTGAAGCAGCAACCATAGTTAAGATTTTAGTCTTGCGGCCTGTTGGAGGAGAGAACTTCTTTGAAGGACACCTCCGCATATGTCGCCACATTTCCTTACGACCATACATGCCTTTACAATATATACAGGGTGCAAATGTTTTAGCAGTGGGGGGCATGTTTGACTTTCTTCTGTTCACTTTCAGTTCCCCACATTGAGTCTTCAAAACCTCCTGATTATGTTTGTAGTTTCCTCTGTTTCGTAACTTCTGCAGGAGCTTTTTTCGCGCCTTGGATTTTCGACGTAGCGCCAACGCCTCAGCGATCTCGGCCTCTTCCTTCCTGTGGGTGAAAAGGTGACGAGAAATTTTAGACTGAGCTTTCCCGCAGACGTAGCAATAATTCTTCGTGGTACAGGAAGGGTCTTTGGGCTCCACATCAGAGGCAGAGTCATCTGAGCTGGAGTCAGCCTCGTCCTCCTGCTGGTTGGATGAATCATCATCATCTTCATCACCATCGTTGATGGGTTCAGGCACAGATCTCTGCCGTTTTTTAGAGGAACCTGACTCTTGATTGGTTTTCACATTCTGACACTGCCGGTTGTTGATCCCGGTAAAACTGTTACTTGGTCCATCATCGGGGACAACCTGGAATTAAGAAAAACAACAAATCAATCAACAAAACAATGCTTATCTAGTACTTCCCCCTGTTTGCCATTCAAATTCTAACTGTATCTTTTAAATTTCTTGACACCAATATACAATATCAAGATTCATTCAGTGTGTGGGCACCCCAGTGGCTCACTCAGTAAGCGCGTACCATGAAAGCTTAGTCCCTACTGCAGCAGGGTTTGAATCCAACCCGTGGCTCTTTGCTGCATGTCATCCCCTCTCTCTCTCCCTGACTTTGCTGTCTCGCTCTCACTGCAACGTTTAACAGCAATAAATGCCCCAAAAAAATAGCTTAAAAAAAAAAAAAAAAAAAAAGGTTCATTCAGTGCTCACTTTTTTCAGACTTGTTTTTTCTCCAACTCTCTCTAACTTTAAGCTTGTTTTCTCACTGGGTTCTGAGGTAGTCTGGAGCAGTGTTCATATCACTGTATGATAGAGAGCAACAGTGGGGCACAACATATTTACAGAAGTAGAGTTACATCCAGGTAACTTTTCCTTTGCCGTGTCTCATTAGTGAATAGGAGACTACTGCTTTGCAGTCACTGTGTTTACATTCATTCACAGAGAGCGGCAGTGGTTGTGAGAAAGAGCTTTGCAGAAGAGATGGCTTTGCTCGATGTGAATCTGAAAAGGAGAGTCTTTTTTCAAACCGCTTAATGTTGTCTTCACTGACATCAATCTCCATCGACATCACAAATTTGCAGGAGAAAACACAAGGGCCTAATCACAGTTCTTGCCGTCCACAAATGCAGATCGAGGAGGTAAACATCAGCTACAGCGTAGTCTTAACTCACATCCATATATAAATCTCCAGTGCTGGTTTATTTTAACACATCATCATCATTAACACTTTAGTGAATGCATTAAACCTGCACTAAGCAATTTCTGACCGCCAAGGGGGCTGACAGACAAAGCATACAGAAGTCTCTTTGTTTTGCTAAATCTTCAACCAGCTTCACCAATCAGTTGTTTAATTAGGCTTTTTGTGACTTCTTTGTTTGTCTGCTGTTGTGCAAAAATGAACATTTGTTTAATTGAGAAAATAATCAACAGATTAATCAAAAATGATCGTTACTTTGTTGACACTATGTTAAAGATAGTAAATAAAGATAGAGTATTTCCTAATATATTTGTCATAAACAGAAAGAGGAAGAGTAGTAAAATATTAGTAGGCATGTCTGAAATAGATGTCATCGGATGTACTTGAATTATTTGCGACATGATGGGACAAAAACTATAAAAAATATTTACACACAAAATCAAAACCAAGACATACTGCAGAAAAAAAACCTACTGTTGAGCGCCAGGGGTATGAGGAGTCCCCGTAGTTGTATGTTATCTCCTCGCCTCGAGATATTTTCTTCACTGCAAACAGGCACAGGTGTGGCTTCCCCTCACAAACAACAGTCCTCATTTCACAGTTGGGACTTTTGTAATCATCATTCACAAGTCTTCCAAGGCTCCCGTCCTCTGACGAAGCATCAATGCTGCAAGAAAGATACTCTTCATGAAACTTAAACAACTATTCTCATGGTGTTGTCCTGGAAAAACAGACCTGTTGTAGTCAAACTACTTAATTTTGTTGGTAAATAAACATTTTGAGATTTTTTTACATCCTTTTACATTCTGTTTAATTTTTCCAAGTTTACAAAAGTTAACTAATACTAAAGTTGAATTTTGGGTAATTTTGAACATTTTGAGAAATAAAATGTAAAAATCATGAAGGTGGTGAAAAACAATCTGACATGATCTGGGATTCTGAAGGTTTTTCTCTTCAACATGAGCCAATACAGATGATTTAAAATAAGAACCATCCTTTAATGACCAAACTGAAAAACTAGCAGTAAACTCACCGCCAGTTTGTTCCATTCCACGAGAAGTCAAACAAATAATTGTTCAAAGTATCACCACTTTTCTTTGTCCAGGTCTCTTTGTGAGTAAAAATGTTCCCCCGATATTCAACAACGAAGGTGGATGGTTCAATGGATTCATGGGTGAACACACCTCTCCCTAGAAAAACAAGAATAAAAGAGAAAACAAAAAGTTACATCCAGTTGTTCTAAAACAAAAATATATAAAACCTAAACATCCTAAAACAAAAATAAACAACATGCTCTGTAGGAAACAGATTATTTGTTATAAATAGAAACTAAACAATAACAATAAAAATGGCTGATTATCCTCAGCCAAGTGCTGATCAAAGTTTTGACTCACTCTTAATTTCAAAATAACAGTCTGTTGTTATCCAAGATTTATTCATTAAAAATTAACAAATCAATTTTTCTTCTCCTGAGAAAACAACAACAAAAATTTTGCTGTTTGGAAAAAACAATTGTAACTCAAGGTCCAGGTTCTAGATTTCTCCAGAGCTTTCGACAGAATTTCATGGTTTTTGTCAATTGAGCAAACACACACTTACAGTTTATCTATTTACAGTCTTCCTTCACTGCTGAAGGCTGTTCGATGTGGTTGAAAGCTCTGGAAAAAGCTGGTAGGAGTTAGAATCAAAATATTGTTGAAAGGCCTCAATACTTATAACTTACTTGCTTACTTACTTACTCCTTTTTTAAACATATTTTTTGGGCATTTTGTCTTTATTTGACAATAGATAGTGTTGTGAGACAAGAATTAAGAGGAGTGTAAAAGGGGTATGGCACATCATCAAAAGTCCAGAACCAAACCTTTGACTTGTTGCGTTTATTTGGCATGTTCATTAGAAGATCATGGCGCCCCCTCATGACCAGCACAAACTGACAGACTGTTTGGAAAAACACTGAAGTGATCGTGATCTATTATTGCACTAACTTAATAGTGGGTAAAATATTTGCCAAATGAACATTTCCATTATTGACCTTTTGCCAATACACAAGTTTTGTTTTCTGATGTGAAGAAGCAGAAAATAAGGCAAAGGTGTCTTGCAACTGCAAGCTAGACCTGGAGTAACATCTTCAAAAGAAAACAGCATTATTAAATCATTCACTGCTCAAACATCAGTGTCTCTAATCGCTTCATGTATTAGAAAAATGGTTTAACTGGGGCTGACTCTCCCTGCTAGTTATCAAAAACCTCCAGAAACGCTGGAACTTGAATGGAAAGACAGTCGTGTCAGCACCAACCTTTTAAGGAGTCAATAAACATTTCCTGCAGGAAGGGTTTGTCTCTGCAAGACTTTATGTGCTCCAGGGCCTCTTGCTCAGGACTCAGCTGTCTTCCTCGTTGCTTCACATCATCTGGAAGGTTATAAAAAATATTTAATATTAAAGCTTCAAAAAGGTCTCACACACCTGTGTTTGTCTTGTCATGTTCATCTTGTTCCATTTTCATCATACAGTTTGATTAATACTGTCTTTACACTGTACTTCTAACATTGCGGTTGAACTGGTGTCTTTTTATGTGAATGTACTTCCCGTCAGCTCAACTTATGAATCATTAATTCACTAACTCAGGCTTTAAAATTACACTTAAGTAGAATGACCACAAAAATAAGAACACGTGTACAATTTAATGCAATGTTATAGGTCCAAAAGCCATGACTAGAACTTGAACCGTGAAGTGTTTTCAACTGAAGCTGTGCTGTGATGGTGTTAATTTAACTCTCTGGTGTTGTGTTGGATTCATTATATTTTAAGTGACGTATATGCCGGGAAAAAATATTTGTGACAAAACTGCATTAAACATTGTTCTGAATAGCACTAACTAGAAGATTACGTTTCATGAGCCACTAAAACAACCTGCGGTCAAACTAAAAATTTGTATAATATGAAATATATTACATTTTACTTATTTTTATTCACCTGAGTCACTTGACAATAAATTATTTTTACTTACTACTTGAATGTATAGAATTTATTTAGGAATTTTTTTTGACAGGTAAGACAATGTAGTAATGTGCATTACCAACTTAAATGTCACTAGCCAACTCTGGCAAGAAAAGTATTCTAAAAACAATAATATTGAATATGAATATTACAGATAAATGGGTATGGGACGGGTTCTCTTCACAACGTACCATTCTGCTGAAGTAAAACAGCTGATTCTTTATTGTCCTCTTCAGCATCACTGTTTTTAGGGTTTCCCTGCTCCACATCTGGCTCCAATTCATCTTGAATAAAAACCAAAACAGAGTATGTATTCATTTGTAGATTATTAAATGATTTATTCGGTCAGATATGTCTATTACAGTGGACACATACCTTCAATCTCAATTTCATCCAAAGAGTTCCCTTTGAATCTTTCGAGAGAACCCTTTTCCATTGCCAGAAGTAGTTTCGCAATCTTTGCCAGTTCCACAGCTGCCTCTGGCAAACGGTAGTAATCCCTGTCAGCCCGAATGTTGTGCCCCAGCAGTTTGGCCAGGTGATCGAGCTCATCATTCTCCAGGTTGAGAATCTGGAAAACTCTTGCTATGTGCTTCTGAAGATGCACCGACCTGAGGTGCTCTGGGTTTTTTGCACGACACAGACTTGAAAAGGCCCTGATGCAGTTCCCTCCATGGTAAAGGCTCGAAGCCGAAAAGTCCGGCTTTGCAAACAAGAAAGGATTGTCTTCATGTACGCCACACGTCATCCTCTTGCTTATGAGCAGCGTTAATGCACTGACAAGATCAGATGTCAACAGAACAGCAACATACTGGCTTGTCTTGCTCAGGATGTTTATTCTGATGAAGTGTTTGGACAGCACTTGGGCGGCATCATCCCTCTCCTGGAATGACTTCAGTGTCATTTTTGAAACCTCAGGTGCACCTTTGTTTAAAACTGACACCTGTGCAAGCGTCACTCTGCAGAGTGCGCTGTACACCTGTGGGCTTTCATGCATCTTCAGGCTGTCAGTGGCAGAAGCCGATGCT